GGTCTGCTGCTCCCATTATTCCACCACTCTCTAATTTTTCCATCAGTCCAGACAAGTAAAGTGATCTCGACGATAACTGCAATTTCTCTAACCACTTTTGTGGTTAGAGAGCGACTCACCTCCTCGACATCTCTTAAGAAGATCTGCTTGTGCTAATGGTTGACATCAGGTTGCTGGCTAAGAAGCAACAAAAATTCTATTAATATTTAGGGTATGGGGTTCAACCCTAAACCTCAATATCCATTTGTAACACAAGAATTCTGGAAGAGGCCTTGCTTTTTGTGAGATGACTTGTGACATCAAGCACCATACTAGGCCTCTTTAGCCTTGTAGTCGTGAGTCTGCTCCTCCTAGTATTCCACCACTCGTAAATTTTATCACCAGTCCATTTGAGTAAAGTGATCCCCACAATAACTGCAATTCCTCTAACGGCTTCCAAAATGGCTGTTGTGGTTACAGAGCAACTCACCTCTTAAAAATGTTCTAAGAGGAACTGGTTCTGCTTATGGTTGACATCAGGTTGTTGGCTAAGAAGCAGCAAGAATCCTAATAATATTTAGGGTTTAGGGTTTAATCCTCAAACGTAAACCTCAATATACACTTAGAAATACAAGAAGGATTTAGGGTTAGACCTAAACCTCAATATACATTTGTAAACCAAGAAGTCTGGAAGTCTTCCAAACTTCTTGCAGTGGAAAAGGCCTTGCTTTTTGTCAAATGAATTGTGAGCTCAACGCATGAAATTCATATATCAAGCACCATACTAGGACTCTTTGGCCTTGGAGGCGTCAGGTCTGCTCCTCCGAGTATTCAACCACGCTCTAATTTTATCACGAGTCAAGATAAGTAAAGTGATCCCGACAGGAACTGCAATTACTATAAAGAATTCCAAAGTGGCTGTTGTGAGTACAGAGCGAGTCCAGATCATTCTTCCATAATCGACAATACCTGCAATTCTTCTAACGGCTTCCAAAGTGGCTGTTGTGGTTACAGAGTGAGTCCAGATATATATGTAATTGACAATAGCTGCAATTCCTCTAACGGCTTCCCAAATGGCTGTTGTGATTACAAAGCGACTCACCTCCTCAGCCTTTTCTAAGAGGATTTGCTTCTGCACAGGGTTGACACCAGGTTGCTGGCTTAGGAGCAGGAGTACACTTCTGCTTGCTGCCCTCGCGTATCTCCAGCAATTGTTCATCACGAGGTTATACTCTGTATCATGTCCTTCAAAAAGCTTTGTGGTTAGAACATCGAGCGGCACCTGGATCCAGAAACCATCCCAGGCTATTAGAATATTAGCCTGGAGGTTCCGGAGAGCACAGTCGGTCAGTAAGTTGATGTAGATCCCCGGATTCCCTCCTCCTTGTCCTCTACGTTCCTTTTCGGCGCTGATGAAGAGCTCAAGGCGTTCACCTTCGGAGTTTGTTGCTGTCAGACGAACGACGGCGAAATCATGGTGGATAAGTCCATCGAAACGTGTGGGCCTGGCCGATTGGCACTGCGATTCCGATCGCCAGGAGCCCTTCGAAGCGAAAGCGGACTGGCAGTAATAAATGTACGTAACAGAGGTGCTAGACCGGATCGCTTGAATTTCATCCCGGCTGACTCTGGACTTCTATGAGAGATCGCTCCACATCATTGTGGACTCCACCCTCCGTTGTCGCGCTGCCACTCGCATACCAGATCCACCAACTCACGATCACAAAAGACACAAAAGACAGTACCTTGATCCACCAACTCATGATCACAGAGGCAACGCAACCCGAACGGAAGTGAGTTGTGAGATCTCAAAGGAAAAACTAGCGACCTCTTTGAGCTGTGACTTCCGGACTCTGACGGACTTCGTAATTGCATTAAGTGATTAATGTGTCGACGCGTTCCGTCGCACAACGCGTCGACACAAGGTGGATATGAAATGGAGAGGCCGAGCTTACTGCAGCGGCATTGTAGACTCGTTTTTGGAAATTGGTGCTAAATCTTGAATCCCTACTGCACTTGGACAGGATGAACTTTTCGAGTTGACTTGGGATCTTGACTCCCTACCAAGCTAAGTGCTGTGCTGCTAACAATCCCCTTTAGCTGATTCGATAGAGACCAAATCCGGACTAAACGAACGGAATTTCGAATGGCATTGAATATGAAATTGGTAGCAGAACGTGTCGACAAAGCAGTGGACATGAAATGCAGCAGATGCCTCTCCATTTCATACATGAAGTACAGTGTAGGAAAACTTCAGCAGCTCTTTAGCGTAGCTCTGTAAATCGGTGACAGGATAACGTTTTCAAGACAGGTTGACATTTTCGTATTGGCGTGGGATCTTGCCTCCCTACCAAGCTATCCCTTTTTGTTTCGTGTAAACCACTCCGTAGTCTCTTTTCATGGAAAACTCTCGGTAGATGCGAGGAAAAGCAAAACGCAGTCAACACAGGACCTAATAACTTCTGCATTGATGATGTCCAGGATAAAGCAGACGTAAGCTCGTGCTTTCACTTGGAGTCCAAGGATTCTATAGCAAAGGTTCCAGCATCACTTTATCTCGAGTCCTTAACTATGTTCTCCACTAAGGCAGATTTTGTCCCAGATTTCTAACAATAATGAAATGAATCTGCTCGTCAAGTCTTTCCAACGTGCTTTTTGTAGATGTATACGTAAATCCATGCATGATATATTTTATGCTGCAAGCCGGAGGACCTAGCTTTAAGAGCTTTAAGGAGATGAGAAGTGATGAATACGAAGTCCAACAAGATGCTATAATTCCTTTAGGAAGAGATGGCGAGTCATATATCCCTCGTATCATGGTCTGGATTTGGCGAGGAAGACTCATTGTGCAAGTCGAAATAGCCTCTGGTGGCGGATTTTAGTCACGGCCACCTCCAGCGGAATCCAGCGAGATAACAAAACTCGAAATTCGAAGTCAGCTTAAAATGCGTATTGTTGACGAATAAGAATCTAGATTGGTCAAGGTCAAATGCAATATGAAGATCAAGTGTAATGCTGCCTGAAGCATGCAGTCCAGTGCAAATTAGTGCAAGAAAGGAGAATCCTAACTTTGGCAAATTAGCAACAAGAACAGAAGTGTTCAGCCTTCTTGATGCAAGGAATCTACGGCTCACCTTCCAGACACAGGGATAGCTACAGATTCTGAAAATAGTCTCTAACATAGCATACGCTAAATCTTTTCAGACATGCTCGTGCTCCAATAGCTAAACTTAATTGTACACCATGAGCAAATCTTGTGAGTCGGGAAGCAATAGAAAAATATGTATTTGGACCCCGATATCGAATCCTATATTACCAATGATCCTCATTTGCATATATGATTCACGCCCCATAGGAAGTGCAATCTTACGTGTCGATGACGTAGTTTCAGCCAGTGGAGACAAGAACAGTTAATAGAAGAATCAAGCTTTGGGAAGTTTTGACATCCCAAAGCTTTTGACCTCGAAGTTTTGACTTCGAGGTCAGCAGTTTGACTGAGTCAGTGATGAATAAGTATACTGTAACTGTGTATGATCGATGTCAGATCAGAATCTGCTAGAAAGCATCAGACATAAATCATAATTAAAGTAGCAACACTTATGATCTATACTGGCTATTCCACGGTTCGATCAAATCTACCCGGACTTGCAAAAACAAATAAAGATTCAGACTTGCCAGAACTCAAGTGCACCTCTTATCACAATCGTATTAAGCTTGAGAAGTACACTCTTCCATTCATTTCTCCCTCTGACTGTGATATTCGATACCACGGTCCAACAATCACTGTATTCATAGGTCAATCAGACCCAAAACTATTGTCATCCTATCGGGGCACAAGGACATAGATAAAGAGTATTTGTCTTCTAAAAAATGAAAATCAACGTTCAAGTTGAACAGATTTTGTTCTCCAATATACGTCACTAATATAGATATTCTATAGCTATTCATTTTATGGCGTCATTCAGATTCTGCAGCCAGAAGATAGCTGGACGTGGTCTGTGTATGTGTGATTTGTATAAGCTGGACGATTACATGCTTCGCCTGCATCGGGTTATAGTTCGAGGCAGCCTGGGCAAGTCTGTGTGGGAGTGGCTGGAGCCGACGCTAAGACATAAGCACAAACACAAATAGGCCGTTCCCTTGGTTCAAGAAGCCACCTCCTGGTCCTCAGGCGGCAGCCATGAACACACGTACTCCTCAAAGAAGTTCATAAAGTATCTCTTGTCAGTTGGTGGTCAAGCCGGCGGAAAATAATATTTGGGCGTATCCGGAGCCCTAATATTACTTTCCTACCCCCAACCTATGGATATATGGAGGTCCGAGTACTCCTTCCTCTTCTTCTCGCTATACGTTAATGAAAATTAACGTTTCAGTTCTCCCTGGCAGGTATCTTTTAAGCATAACTGTATTTGCATGTCTTGTTGGCCCTTTGCCCAAATCAAGAAATTTGCTCCGCCTCAAGCATGTTTTAAATTCAATTGCTCGAGCAGCTACGAAAAATAAAACAGTAGCTTAAGTTGTGAGTGATAATTATCATTCACAGATTATCAGATATATTTATTCATCCAAGAGCCTTCTCGGATGACGTCGCTGTCAGATACCAGTGCACGTTCTTAATTGGGCCTCACTTGGACTTAGGATTCATACCTTCCATTCAGTAGTCTTCAATAAATTGGTCTAGCACGCCACAACCGTGATAGCTCGAAGAGGTATGCAACCATTGTTAGGAGAGCGTGGATTGGTGTGGCTCCATCACTACAGACATAGTAGAGCAGGAAGCATGAAAGTTGATCGTATGAGGGGGCGTGCATGCACACGTTGATGGCGTCTACAAACAGCCGATGTCTGAGAGCATCAACGCGGTGATTGTCAGAAGACTGTCTCCAGTCTATATCCGTTTTCGACTGCAAGTCTGTGCTTAAGTTAAAAAATTATTTTCCTGCCAGAAATTTTATGGTCGCCATACACTTCTTCTCTAATTAAGAACAGTACAGATTTCCAAACAAAAGATTCACATTAATCGCAACTCCTTCTCCAATATCTGTATTGCGATTGAGCTTTCTGAAATCCACTCAGCTATCAATAGAGACGACGTTTGCTCTTTCCCAGCCTCAAGCTACTCACAACGACTGATAACAAGTTACAACCACGATGCACTACCAGGGATTTGAGTTCTGCTTGAAAGTGGTTGTACTAATTTAGCCCAACTTAAAATCTCATCTACAGTATATCCGTCAGTACTATGCCAGCGTAGAAGCAATTACAATGCGCTGTATTCAGAAACACGATTCTCACTACACTCTGTCATCCTCACGGCAGGGAGCGATGGAGTGCCACCCTATGAAATTCTCATCCCTGCCCCTCCCTACTTTGCCTTCGATAGTCGTCCACTGATGAACATGTGTTGAAAGTATTGAGAATACAGTACTATACGTCCACCACTTCAGCAAACATGAAACTCGGAGTCGCTCGACGGCCGCAGCTATTCGTAGACGAAGTCTAGTAAGGAAGCTGACCGGCAAAATTTCCCGGGGGGTCGTAGCTGCAAACGACGAACAAGGCACCAGAGGGACAAGTGGCCGACCCGCATCCCAGCGCCGCTGTGTCCCTCCACACGACCTGTTGCAAAGAGTGCGACCCGTGTCAAAACCCGCGAAGCTCATCACATCGACTGCATGCCCGACAGTGGAAAACACCGCTACACAAAACTTGACTTCCAGTTTTTCGTCCCATTCATGAGTTTCCAGAGTATGCGTGAAGCCCCTTATCTTTTTTACATATGTGGGAACAGCTTTATCCTGATACAGGTTCTGGGCTCGTGGTTAGTTCACAAGATCTAGATATCTCTGAAAATCAAACTACGGCAGAACGCCATGGAAACACAACTTCGCGCACACCAGGCAAGAAAAGCACGAGAAGAATTTGCATGGACCTGCGTGTAATGACCGCAAAACTCGCCCTCTGGGGCCGAGCACGAATTTGTTGCGTAGTCGTAATACGCCTCCTCGCTGACCCAGGCCTGCACTGCATCCGCTGGGTTGCTGGAGAACATCCGCTGGATGTTCTCCCCGTAAGGCCCTCCAGAGTGTATGAGAGCGCAGTCGTCACCAGCAGCTGCTCTGGTGGCGGCCCAGTCAGTAGCATACGATTCCAGCGTGGTGTCCCAGGTCAGGCTCGGTATGCCTTGATTCAGCCCAGCTCGGGCATCATTGTGCGGAGTGAGGTACTCGTCTGCTGTGGATTGACCCTGGGCGACATTGATGATGCTTGACGCTATAAGAGAGATGACAAGAATATGAATCAGAAATCGTGGCCTCAAGCCGAAACCCATCGTAAAACTGAGGATCCAGAAACTTCGAGGGAGATATTTTTTTTTGTATAGGAGAAATCGAGAGCAGATTCCACTCGGTCTGATATCGAAGGTGTTCTTCAGCCTTCGAGATAGTCCTGCTATAAGGATGGCGATCCGAGATAGGAGGAAGTACTCTTCACCCTCAATCCCAGTGATGAGATCGCAGATATGGTTTGAACGATCACTCCTGATCCTTTTATACCACCGCAAGTTCAGAAACTGCGTGAGAGATCAGTGTAAACTATCGAAATTGCTATATGTAAAAGGTAGGATCGGGACCCACATGAGCATTTCTCGAAGCCTTTTTAATGAAAGAAATCATTGGCGAGCATTTTTAATTCATCCCGGAATCTTCTCTACAACTGCCATTAGGCTTGTCATCTGGGCTCTACTATACATCTCACTCAAAAATAAATGCAGTCTGGACGCCGCTCACCGGACGACCTTTGATGAACTTGATAGTCTATAATCTGGAAGACCCCTGGGAGGAGCTTTGTCAAAGGTCAAGACCAGTATCCAGCACATGAATAAACAACATCGAGATATCCACTAGCGGGCTAATGTCAATATATTGGAGGACTAGAATAGTTCCATTCCCAATCTCTTGGTCAATCCAGAGTATCTTATATGCAGCTGCAGGAGAGTTCGCCAAACACATGGGACGTGCGTGTCCGCCATCGTGAAATGTTCGCTTGAGTTCTGCTGGATCTCTGAAGATATTTCACCAGAAACGATGTTCATCAAATTGCCCAAATCTTCCGTATTCTTCTGCATACGATTCGAAGTCAACGGTAAATAACACAGATTCGAATAATGCAGCTCACATTCTTCACCGTTCTTGCCATGCCGTTGCCCAACAGATCTGTCGTGACAGTCTCGAGTACGGGATCGAAATATTTACTCGAGACATTTCCATGATATGCTTCTGCTTGGTCACAAACTCCCAGATCGAGCTTCCGGGGACTTGATTGCAACAACCGCAAGTTAATGAAAGTCCTTCTGAACAGATAATCGTTCTAAATCTGATGTTCTATTTTTCTTTCTGTCGCGATGACTCGACTGGTCACCTCTGCAAACGTACACACAGATCTGTTAACGAGCATTACAGTATCTGAATCTTTTTATTCGATTTGAAACTCGACACCACGGAATTGGAGCTTACAACCTCCTGAAACTCCGTGCATAAGCTTTTTCAATTGCACTCAAATTTTGATCCATTCCTCTCTAATGAGTTGAGTCATTCTTTACTTCAGATGACTGCAACCTAAAAAGACCATGCGGACCTCGATGCTTCTAACTGGCTGTTCATCCTCAACGTTATTTAGAGAAATGAAATTTCTTCCGAAGACTGGTTCTGGACCGGCCAGTCGGCAGTCGTGAGGATTGGAAGCCAGCTATTTCAACAGTCCTGTAACCTACGTAATTGGTTCACATTCCAGGTTTTCATATAATTTTGTGGAAATAGGAACTTAAGCTTGCAGTGTTCTCATTCAATGCTATGGACCCACAAGTGATCCTTGGAGTTTTGATTTGTACCATTAGCCGGTAAAGGTTTTGAAATCAAATCAAACTAATTGGTCCTAGTGTAGTGTTTTTGGGCAATTTTGAAACATCCTATGATGAACATAGTGAAATGTGATGTTAGAAGTATACTAGAAATCAAACCAAAACCTTTACGTTCAAAGTTTCTCTGTATAGCCTGTTGGTATGTGACCTCTCACAAGGTACGTAGACGTAAGAAATTATGTGTATAAAATTACGGTCATTCACAAGTAATAATGACTTGAAGTTGGTAGATAGCTTTCAGATTCTTTAGGAAGTTTTTCAAACCCATGTTTGTACTATGTTCAACAAGAAAGCGAGAGTATTTCTTTAGATTCTGTAAAAAATCACGTAAGAACTTGTCTAGTGAATGCATTAGCTTTGATCCGAAATTCGAGCAATCTCACTTTGGACTTTTAGGCAATAAATACTCCTACCCCTCATTTACTCTAGTCTCAATACTATCGAGGTAAAACAGTTCAATTTTACTTTCCATAAAATCTGTACCTTTTCCGGAAATAAGAACAGAGTAGATTTTAAAGTTTTTATTTCTTTTGGAGTTACATCAAGTTGAGTTTGAATTTCATCAAAGCTCTGCCCCTTCAAGGAAGTAAACTAGAGAAAATGTTAGGATATCTTTAACAAAAACTCAATATTTATTGACTAGCGACATCCTTTACACAAGTTATATATCAAAAACTACGTTTGTCAGTGACATAATGTGATGAACGTCAGATGAATGACCTTTGATCTGATAGAATTTAGATTGATTTATAATAAGAAATATTTTTTAAGAGAATCCGCTATTCAATCTTAAAAGTCAGGTTGCAATCATTAGAATAGGTTACTTTTATCATCTTGAATAATTCTATACAAGATTCGATTTTGCATTCGCGAATTTGTTTCAAAGATTAAAAATTGCATTTTATGAGTATGTTGCATCTAGGTGTTCTACATGATTAATTCTATCAATACCACGTACATAACTTCGATCAGCGAATGCATCCATGGAAAACATCTCTGGAATAAATGAGTTACATTTATAACATGAAGAAATATAATTGTAGAAGAAAAATGAGTCTCATTACAGGTCCAAAAAGTGTTATTAAGCTATCTAAAACATGTGCGCTCAAAAACAGCATGCTTAAAATTCCCTTTCAAAATATCTAATGGACAATTATGAAGAAGCATGCAATCCCCAATGACATTGCTTCATAAACTATTGATTCTGAAATATAGAAATGATACATAGATATATGAAAGTGGTGCATTATTATAATCTAACAATCATATTGCTATAAATCTTAGATATAACTACAAACTCGTAATATAGTCGCAATACGGAAGATTTGGGCAATTTGATAAAAAAGGTTTCTGGTGAAACATCCACTGAGATCTAGCAAAACTCAAACGATCATTTCATGATGGAGGACACGTACGTCCTATGTGTTTGGCGAACTCTCCTGCATGATATAAGATACTCAGGATTTACCAAGGGATGGGGAATGGACCTTTTCTAGTACTCAAATATCTTAACATGAGCTCACTAGTGGATATCTCCATGTTGTTTATTCATGTGCTGGATACTAGACAAGCCTAGGAGGACCCGAGGAGTAACCTCTGACAAGGCTCCTCCTAGGGTCTTCCAGATCACAGAATATCAAGTTTCTCAAAGGTCGGACGATGAGCGCCGTCCAGACTGCATTTGTTTGTGAGTGAGATGTATAGTACAGCACAGATGACAAGCCTAATCACAGTTGTAGAGAAGATTCCGGGATGAATTAAGAATGCTCGCCAATGGTTTCTTCCATTAAAAAATGCTTCGAGAAATGCTCATGTGGGTCCCGATCCTACCTTTTACATATACCAATTTCAATAGTTTACACTGATCTCTCACGCAGGTTCTGAACTTGCGGTGGTATAAAAGGATCAGGAGTGATCGTTCAAACCATATCTGCGATCTCATCACTGGGATTGAGGGTGAAGAGTACTTCCTCCTATCTCGGATCGCCATCCTTATAGCAGGACTATCTCGAAGGCTGAAGAACACCTTCGATATCTGACCGAGTGGACTCTGCTCTCGATTTCTCCTATACAAAAAAAAATATCTCTCTCGAAGTTTCTGGATCCTCAGTTTTACGATGGGTTTCGGCTTGAGGCCACGATTTCTGATTCATATTCTTGTCATCTCTCTTATAGCGTCAAGCATCATCAATGTCGCCCAGGGTCAATCCACAGCAGACGAGTACCTCACTCCGCACAATGATGCCCGAGCTGGGCTGAATGAAGACATACCGAGCCTGACCTGGGACACCACGCTGGAATCGTATGCTACTGACTGGGCCGCCACCAGAGCAGCTGCTGGTGACGACTGCGCTCTCATACACTCGGGAGGACCTTACGGGGAGAACATCTACTGGTCCAGTGGACCGAGCACCCCAGCGGATGCAGTGCAGGCCTGGGTCAGCGAGGAGGCATATTACGACTACGCAACAAATTCGTGCTCGGCCCCAGAGGGCGAGTCATGCGGTCATTACACGCAGGTCCTATGCAAATTCTTCTCGTGCTTTTCTTGCCTGGTGTGCGCGAAGTTGTGTTTCCATGGCTTTCCGCCGTAGTTTGATTTTCAGAGATTTCTAGATCTTGCTAACTAACCACGAGCCCAGGACCTGTATCAGGATAAAGCTGTTCCCACATATGTAAAAATGATGAGGGGATTCGCGCATACATCAATTTTTGTGTATTTTCCACGGTCGGGCGTGCAGTCGATGTGATGAGCCTCGCGGGTTTTGACACGGGTCGCACTCTTTGCAACAGGTCGTGTGGAGGGACACAGCGGCGCTGGGATGCGGGTCGGCCACTTGTCCCTCTGGTGCCTTGTTCGTCGTTTGCAGCTACGACCCCCCGGGAAACGTTGTCGGTCAGCTTCCTTACTAGACTTCCTCTACGAATTGCTGCGGCCGTCGAGCGACTCCGAGTTTCATCTTTGCTGAAGTGGTGGACATATTGTACTGTAATCTCAGTATTTTCAGCACATGTACATCAGTGGGCACGGATGAGAATTTCATAGGAGGGCACTCCATCGCTCCCTGCTGTGAGGATGACAGAGAATGTAGTGAGAATGGTGTCTCTGAATACAGCGCATTGTAATTGCTTCTACGCGGGCATAGTACTGACTGATATTCTGTAGATGAGATTTTAAGTTGGGATAAATTAGTACAACCACTTTTAAGCATAACTCAATCCCTGGTAGGGCATCGTGGTTGTGACTTATTATCAGTCGTTGCGAGTAGCTTGAGGCTGGGAAAGAGCAAACGTCGTCTCTATTGATAGCTGAGTGGATTTCAGAAAGCTTAATCGTAATACAGGTATTGGAGAAGGAGTTGCGATTTACTTGAATCTTTTGTTTGGAAATCTGTATTGTTCTTAACTATAGAAGAAGTGCATGGCGACCTTAAGATCTCTGGCAGTAAAACTTAAACATAGACTTGCAGTCGAAAACGGATAAAGACAGGAGACACAGTCATCTGACAATCACAGCATTGATGCTCTCAGACATCGGCTGTTTGTAGACGTCATCAACGTGTGCATGCACGCCCCCTCATACGATCAACTTTTATGCTTCCTGCTCTTCTATGTCTATAATGATGGAGCCACACCAATCCACGCTCTCCTAACAATGGCTGCATAACTTTTCGGACTATCACCATTGTGGCGTGCTAGACCAATTTATTGAAGACTACTGAATGGAAGGTATGAATCCAAAGTCCACGTGAGGCACAATAAGGAATGTGCACTGGTATCTGAGAGCGACGTCATCCGAGAAGGCTCTTGGATGAGTAAATATATCTGGTAATCTGTGAATGATAATCACTCACAACATAAGCTGATAATTGATACTTCGTAGCTGCTCGACCATTTGAATCTAAAACATGCTGCAGGCGGAGCGAATCTCTTCATTTGGGCAAAGGGCCTACCAGACATGCAAATACAATTATGCTTAAAACATACCTGCAAGGGAGAACTGAAACGTTAATTTTCATGATTGTATAGCGAGAAGAGGAGGAAGTAGTACTCGGACCTCCATATCCACAGGTGGAGAGTAGGATAATGATATTTGGGCTCTGGATACGCCCGCTTGATCATCAACTGGCAAGAGAGAATTTATGAGCTTCTTAGAGGAGTACTTTTGTTCATGGCTACCACCTGTGGACCAGGAGGTGGCTTCTTGAACCAAGAGAACGGCCTCTTTGTGTTTGTGCTTATGTCTTAGCGTCGGCTCCAGCCACTCCCACACAGACTTGCCCAGGCTGCCTCGAACTAAAACCCGATGCAGACGAAGCATGTAACCATCCACTGTACACAAATCACACATACAGATTACAACCAGCTATCTTCTGGTTGCAGAATCTGAATGACGCTACCAAAGCGAAGGTCGCTGTTTATTTTTGCCACATTAGTGGTAGAGACATTGTACCTCATGCTCTTCGCAATCGTATACTCATGGGATAACGTGAATATCGCAGAAGGTTATACATACATAGTCATACGACGCGTTGGCTCACAGCAGCCAGAGTAGCAATTGAAGCAATTAGAATTATTGCTAGCGATAGCCATGATGATAAATGACTATTGCTCGATGTGGTGTACAATTTTTTCGATTTTTGCATAAAGAAGTAAATTTGAAGTATATTGGCTGTAGAATATAGGTATATAGTCGTAGAAGTTAGTAGATCTAATGGAAACTAGTAGCAGGTAGGATGGAATTTGTCTTCGGCCCAAGATTTTCGAACCTTCGGCGAAGACATCTTTGGCGATGTAATAGACAACCCTTCGGCAAAGACAACTTGTCACCATTCGAATTGACAGAGACTGAACAAGAACTTCTCGTATTGCCAGTGCCAATTCGCGCATGTGAAGACCGAATTGCCAGAGACCGGACAAGAACTTCTCGTATTGCAAGTGCCAGTTCACACACGTGAAGACCGTTAGGGCGTAGAGGTTTAACGCACGGAGTCGTAGCACCTCGTCTCACCTCGTCTCCCGATGCTCCCGATTGCAAGTCTCGCTCTCCCACATTGCGAGTCCATCGGATTAGACCGTTGGACTCCAGATCTCGCCCATGAAAGACACGTTGAGGCTAGTAGCTGGGAAACAGATGCAAACGCATGTCTGTTTATCTTCGATTGCGAGCTTGAATTTTGAATCGGTCGAAATTACGGATTTACTGGACTTATTGATCGCACTATAACGTAGATTACATTTCAAATGTTTTGAAAGAATAAGAACTTGAAGTAGATCCTTGTACTTCCCAAGTGAAGTCAGCTGCTGGTATCTCGTGGGTCCAACGTCTATAGGAGGACGAGGTCCTTGTCTGGATTCACCCAGAGTGTATATTGGCATGCACTCCTTGTCATGCAGACGATTCCAAGTCAACGGATGGATAAAACATATTAGAGTTGTACAGCTTACATTTTTCACCGTTCTCGCCATGCCGTTTCACAACAGATCTGGCTCCATGAGCTCGATTCCTTTCAAGAAGATAGAACCCCAGGGTTTACCACTGCCCTTTATGAGTCGAATCCCTTTAATATGATGATATAGGAATCGAAATTTCTGATTTATAGCTGTATCTCTGTAACATTTTTTTAGCACTTTACACCTTTCTGATGTCATTTACATTCGTTTACAGAAACTAGATGACAACGGTGAAAACAAAGCTTCAAATGACAACCACAAAAAATTGGGATTCCCATGATAAACTAGATCTTGATAAAAAACCAGGAAATTCATTGGTGAATATTTCAAAACTTTAGAGATATATATCTGCTGAACCCAAGTGAAGTGACAGTCACTTAAGCACCATAAAATATTTAATAGCGATAGAAGTTTCCTCCATCTGAAGAAAGAATGAAAGCTATTTCTTGTATTTCTTCAGTCTAATGTGTACAAGGATGATATATATCAATACATCAGATCTTTGCGAGATTTGTTGCATAACAATTTCAATGCCTTGATAACGTCATTTCGTTAAAGTTAAGTGCCACCGAATCCATGTTTTGATATGAACATGCCACAGATATTCGTCAAGATCCTTCGGAGTGACGGGCCAGAACTAGTTAGTGGTTTGAGTACGGTGAGTAGAATTTCCATAAACAGAGGAGATTATGCTTTTTTTTTTCCACAAAGGCAAGTAATGGACGTCCTCAGGTCGAAATTCATTAGCCTCCTGTCATGTTAAAACATGACAAGAGGTTTAGTTAATATATTGTGTGCAACATACCCGCACTTCTTCCTCACAATATGAGTATACCAACATCATATTCCGGATTGTGATATTATTTATCAACCCCCCATGACATCAGATGTATACACTCATTGTATATTAGTCACGACCAACACAGTGTACTGCCATTCACATTCAAAACGCTTCAGAACTTTATTTTGATATCCTTCACCATTACACTGGATAAAAACTACGGGCCCGCCTACATGCACGTACACACGCCGTATAGAACATCACCATTTCAACAAAAGCAGTGCAAGGCTCAAAGAGTGTCAACTTGACACTGTCAAGGGCAAAACACGACTTCATAATCGGAGCCTGTGGGACACGTGAACGTAGAGGTGGCATCATCGAAGTTGTAGCTGTAAGCTTGAGGACATGCTGCTTTGAACTGCCTCGTGCCGGCTGTCGGTCCCAGCCCGGCAGTTCCATCGGTGTTGACGCAAGAAAGGGCACCAGTGGGTTGTGTTTGTAGAACGTTGTTGGGCTGACAGAAAGAACTGTCATTCAAACGGGACGGTCCATGGGTCAATAAGGATTTGAGAGAGTTCGTGGTTGCAACAACGACCAGGCTGCTCTACAAGATATTGAATTCAGCATGTTCTCATAATGTGAGATGGATCAAAATAGACGAGGTTACCTGATGTCGCTGATGGAACAGGTTATGGAGTCACAGCCCGTGGGCGCATTGATGGACATGGGAATGGTGTACGCATTCTGCATGGGGTTCGAGGGACCAGCAGTTATTATGATCAGTAGGTTGATGACCAACAGCAGTATCTGAGGTTGCAACACAGAAATCTGCTCTACGTAGATCGGACTATCTGGCTCATATCCGCACCCCAAAACAAAGATCAAACAAATCATTCGCACTGATGAGAACAAGAGATGACTGCCGTCAAATCTTACAGCAGATGCAAATTTCGGTGCACTGATATCACTGAACTCATCGAGGAGAAATAGAAACTTTGACCGCAAATCCAACACCATCGTCCGGCCTATCGCAAAGGGAAGAAATACTTACAACGTTACTCAAGTCGTAGAAGTCTTGATTGCCAGAGCCAGGGATTGTGAACTCAGCTAAGTTGGCTAAGTTTCTATCCGTAGCCGCGTATGGAGTCCCTGTGACTGCACATTGTCCCGTCACGGAAGCATACACAACAGCAGATGGCCAGCTACAAGCCGTGCCCAGATCGATAGCTTGTGAGGTTCCGGCACTCAGATCCCACTGATCAATGTTCTCTTGCCCGGTTTGAGAACATGCTGTCACCATGTAGTTGCAGTTGTTACTGATCGTGATTACACAACCTGCATGGGGAATAATGAGTCAAGCAGTGAGTTTTCCTGGGCACGTCATTCGCAGCTCAGTTCCCTGATAGAGAGCGGGAGGCATCTGCTGTGTGTCAAGAACTCGGCCATTCTCACAAATTACAAACGTACACGAAGACCTGAAGGAAAAGATAGAGGCTATTGGTGGCAGTCTCACCGTGGACGATTTCTCCGAATATTACAGAAAGGAAGAAAAACCGTAGTGCTAAGCTTGAAGTCGCCATGCTGGTTATCAATTTTTACGATATTGAGGCAAACCAGTCCCAAAAGATAGGACAAAGAACAGAGATCAGAGTCTGAGATGTTATTGCTGAAAGATATCTCAGAAACAATGGGTTGATTGAATCGTTTTGACATCTCTAATTTATAGCCTTGAGATTTCTGTAAGGTCCTCATTGAGATCTCAATGCATCGTCTATACATCAATGTGTGGGTTGCCCTTAGGCAGACACAGAGAGATATTAGCTCCTTTCAGATGCTTTCGGTGCAGTGTCAGACTCACAAAGGCAGAGCACATAATTAAAGAGTATTTGCACAGGCCTTATCTCGCTTGTCTTAAAACAATTGAAATCAGCGTTCAAATTGCGCAGATACTGTTCCCCAACATACGTCACTACTATAGATATACACATAGTCACATCAAGCAGAACAGTCAAATCCACCATGGATTGAAAGAGAAGCCATCGTTTGACCAAGCTTGCTCGCAGGTCGTCCGGATGCTTCCTTCGGCTTAACTCGCCCAGCAGGTCTATGCGTTGGAGATCAGCGAGGACAGAGGTAAATTACTGAATGGTCCAAGAGGAATAGAAGATTCTATCGAGCCGATACAGCCTGATCAAGATCTCATACATCTAATGAGTGTGATAAAAATATGTCTGAATGGACTCCTGATGATATGTCTGAACACTTCACTTGTTTATTTCCTTTTTAACTATCAGTCTATATCAATGTGACTTTGATATTTTCAAGGATTTTGTTGTTAGTGAGAAATTGAAACTAGAAAATTATAGAAAAACACTTCACTTGTTTATTTACTTTTTTATTAACTATCAACTTATATCACCAATGTCGTTTCATTGTGATAAAAAAAAAATTTAACAAGAAATAAAAATTCATCTACAATGAGATAGTGAATCATGTGCTGATAAATGATGTTCATAAGTAGGAGTAAGTTCTTTGATTATCAATATCATTAGTAACAACAGTGAGTGTAAATCATGGAATATATTCGAAGAAAAATGATGGAAATTACAAAGTTTTAGATCAATAAGATTTATTGAAGTGGAACACAATAATATGTTGCAAGTGTGTTAAATCTGTTCACCTGAAGAATAAGCTAGATGTTTTAAAAAAATGTTGCAAGCAACAAAGAAAACGATGAGTGCGATTCAATAGATGACCATTATGGTGTATGATGCTGATGAAATGTCCATTGTACTTCTATCTACACAAAGAAGATACATGTATGTTGGATAAAAATTTGCAGATCATATGTGTATTCAAAGAAATGTTGTTAGGTTTTACGCGATATCATACGATTTAATTTTGATGACAAATATTCATTCCTATAAACAATTGAAAGTGTTGAATTTATGAATATTTGAAAGTTTTATTTTTTTCCGCAAGTTGATAAATATCAGAAAACACGAGGATAAATTTTTGTGGAGATTTACATGATATATATATAATCATGATATTACTTATTTGTGGCAATGAAGAATACATTCCATTAAATAAAAAACAGTACATTAATTCACATCTTTGTTCTTTGCAAGAAAGTTTTTTACATACAACGATTTTTCATTTGATTGTATCTTCACTAAGTTTTGGATAATGCTTACTTTTAGATTTTGTGACATAAGAGAATCAATACATTGAGACTAATGATTATGTAACTATGAACAAATGATGGTTACAAAACTGGAGCATTTGACATAAAACACATGTAGATTGAAGGTTTCAACAATACTAGTTGGTACGACGCAAGTGATTGTTCTGATTGAACTTCATGAAAGACATTTGCTCATCCCACATGAAACTAGAAGAATGTGTAAGAAACCTCATTATGAAAAATAATTGAACCTCACATTAATTGACAATTTCTCATAACATGCTAGAGAGACATTGTTATATTGTTACAATGGATTCCAATGAGAAATGATCATGCATTATGCATAATCCTTATTTTGTTCATTATTTACTCTATGAGGTCTTTTAATCTACGTATTTATAGAAATTCCAACCTTAACTTGTGTTTGATTGGGAAAAATATTATGTAGATGCATTCAAAAAAATCACTACAACTCATCAAGGTAAAAAAAAAACCTTTGAGAAGAGGATGATGAAATAATAAACTATGAAGTTATTCAACGCTTCGTAACTTTCATGTTTTAAAGGGAGATATGGAATCATTTAATTTCCAAGTCATTTGGAGTTGATTTTATAATTGAAGTTCATGCATCAAATGTATATGAATGTTTCGTTACAGTTTTATTGAGATACTTTTAAAGATTGAAAATGTAAAAGTGGAATTTGTGATCATTTTGATTAGAAACAAACTTCACACAATCTAATGTAGATGATAAAGACTACAAGCACTAGTGTTTACAAAAGCTGAGTAGGATGGCTATGTAAAAATGTTGTGTATAAGCTATTTCGTAAGTCAGTCAAATCTGCCCATGGCATCACAACGTGGTATATATAAAGTGAGGATGCATAAAAATCAAAGTAGAATATGCATCTTGAATCATCGTTTATCAACTTTCAGGAGGCATAATTTTGTATGTACGCATTGCAAAGCATATCATGAAGTAGCTTTCTCTCTCAAAGCTAGGAAAATTTTGAAAAAATGTTCCTTCATGCTTTAGCAATCTTAGACAGTATACATAATTACTTCATTCATCATTCCGAATGGGCATTAGATTAATCATTTTTCACTACATTATCTGTTTGTACAAAAATTTTGCTTCTAAGATATAAAATTCCAATATGACTCAAAATAATTATATATTATTTTTATAATCTTGCATTTAATGCTGATGAATAAAAAATTATCTCCATTCAGATCCAAAACCCTCACTGAAATTTCTTGTTGCGATAGCAAAATTCTCATTCAAAATCTTCAGTTAGAATTTTAAACTTATATCGAGAAGAATGAATTGCAAACCCTCATGTATCATATATTCATGATCTCAAAATCATTTCTTGGTTAGAATCAACGTTCACATTTACATAGATTTGAAAAAAGTGATCTAATAAAGATGTGATTTGCTTATGCAAGGTTTTCTTCAAGGATGAACATTTATTAATAATTAAAATCGTCAATTATGTCACTCTTTTACAACACATCTTTTCATACATAATGCTTATTTACTCTTAAAATAGCATAAAAACAATCTCACATATCATTACTCTCATTAGATACAATTATGTCAAATAAATTTAAAGCTTTTTCTCAAAACAAATGTGAAAATTTGATTGATCCAACATATTTCTCGTCTGATCTAATGATATTGGATTGAGTTGTACTCTAAAATCATTAACTATATACTACATTAGAATACCATTTTATCTAGATGATATAACCAATCCCAGTGCGATTGCAAAATTTTCACCTAGCTTGTTTGAATGAAGTTAAATTTATAGTTTTCACTTTTTGAAAATGACAAAGATTTTAGAATTTTGATTTACATTACAACTATAGTTAATATTCAAAAAATAAAAAAGGAGATATCTATATATTTAGTAAAAAAATTTAGAATGTAAAACAGTAATGTATGAATCTTAGATATCATTACTCGGGGATAGGGGCCGCCCTCTTTGCCATATTTTTTATTGTTCAATCTGCTATAAGGAAAAAACCCCATTATGTATTATTTTATGAACCTGCTTCAAAATAGTAATTTTTTCATCAAAAAAGTTAATGATGATATTTTAACACAAATAATTAAAAAAATACGAGATAGTGATATAAAAAATTTTTTGCAAAAAACGGATACATATTTTTCATTCATTTCATAAAGTCTTAAATGTCTTAGTTATCTACAAAGAGTTGTACTTTAATACATATCAATTCTTGTAAACTTTTGAAAATATCCTTTTTCAATCATGATTTAATTAAAAAAAGTTATTTCTATCATTATTATATTCATCAAACGTATCTAGAGAATAAAAAATGTGTACTCATATTAGCGATAGATCTGAAATTTATCAATTTGTGCAAAAAAAAATTAAAATTTTTGATATTCACGAAAATTCAGTTTTTTATAAGAATTAATATTTTTTATCAAAATTAAATCGTATGATATAGCATAAAACCTAAATAAAATTCTTTTAAGATACTTGATATGCAAATTCTGAATCGAACATACATTTATTTTCTTTTCGTAGACATGAAATACAAATTACATTTTCTAGAGTTGTAATTGTTATCTAATAGATCACACTCATCTGTTTGTTTGTTACTTGCAACAATTCTGTTAAAAGTCAAGCTTGTCTTGAGGTGATTAAATTTGCCACATAGATTATTGCGTTACAGCTTTATAAACTTCACTAGATCTCAAATTTTTGTATTCTCCATTACTTGTCTTATCTAACGTAAGGACTAATGAGATGAATGGTAAAAAAACTCACATCATCTTCTCATGAAGATAATTTTGGAACAGAGCATTCACTATTTAATTGTAGTTGAATTTTCATTTTATTTTATCTCTATCAAAATAACTCAACATTAGTGATATAAATTGAAACTTAATAAAAATGTAAAAACGACGTGAAGTATATTTCTATAATATACGAATTTGTAATTTATTTTAACATTTTGCGTGTACACAACAAGATCATTGTAAATATCAATGTCATATTGTATCTATGTCTTATTTTAACTAATTTTGAAACTCGTCAAAGCGGAAAGCACATGTTGAGTCGATTTAAATTACTTGTATATGATTCTTCGACGGAGTTATCGATTTTATTTCATGATAATTCCGTCGAAAATTCGAGTACGTAGGTTCTATGTCGAGGGGAGATCTCAAGATCCACACTTTCTTTTACTCAAACTATCGCTAAGTCACAGTAGAGATGAAAACTATCCAACTTTTCGATGTCCTTGTCTACCATTCTCGTCTCTACTGATCGTGGAATTAAGCAGTTTGATTGTCAGGATTCTCCACATAATTCCCATGGCATTCACAGCTCTTTCTGTCAACCGAGCAACAACGTTGTATAAACACTGGGCAGAGTCCAACACCACCGTGCTGGGCCTACAGATGGCACTCAACAAATCAAAGATGGCCGTGCTTATGATTAGAGGTAACATTCTAGACAGAGGATGCGACCTATACTTTCAATTCACCAACCGGTACCTCTTTTGAAAACCCACTGGAAT